ACACTTTTAAGTACCCTCACGCTTTCTTACTTTAGCAGGAATTTCTAATTAAGTTCAGTGTTTCAGCAGTGGGCGATTTTTTTTTTCAACACGTGGATTTTTTTTTATCTTTAGCAGGAATTTCTAATTAAGTTCAGTATTTCAGCAGTGGGCGATTTTTTTTTCAACACGTGGATTTTTTACTAGATTTCCTTCTATTTCTTTTCATAAAATTTTTAATTCTGCAGTGACAGGTAAACATTTATGGAAGTCGGCAGAGAAAGATTCTAAAGTAAATCAAGGAGTGTTTGAAGGTGAGGTATTGACACACACACACACACACACACTCTGGTTTTGCAGTAAGTTTTACTTGAAGAGACCGAGTCTGGTGGTGCCCAGTTTGTTTTTGGATGTAATTTGGGGACATATGCTATTACATGCTAATGTGTTTTGTAGCATAATTATAAACTTCAATTTTGGGGAACAATCAATATATCTGATCTTATCAAAAATCGTGAACTGCTGTTAGTGTCAACTAAAAAACAACATTTCTCTTCGGTACCTACATACTTAAGGGGGTATTTAGAAATTCAAATAGATGTATGCAGGTTATTTGGGAAACTAATTCAGGAGGACATGTCTAAGATTGCTGGTGATATAAATCTTTCAGAAAGGAGGAAGAGGAGGAATCCAGAATTGTGAGTGAAGTTGTCCTAGACAAATTTCAGAGAATTTGGGAGATGAATCTCCTTATTATCATGGAATGTAGTTGCTATAATGGACATGAAAAACCCCACAAATCTAATTTTAAATTCAAATTGTATGTGAAAAGAAATACTTATGTGTTCACTTGTCTATTCCAAGCAGACTTGACACTTGGTGCGCACCGTGGTGGAAGCTGGTTATGAACAGCAAGTGGAAATTTACACTTTTCCCATTTAAATGTGTGCCTACTTATGGCACTATTAGGGCAACGTTAGGGTGGGAGAGGACATCCTAGGATATAGTAAGCGTTGTCTTTTTAGGATAATCTGTGGATAATCATTTAGATATTTCTAAGAAATAGCAGTCACCATATGGTGTGGGTGGCTAGTTTGTTTCTGAAATGGAGTTGATTACACAGAATGTGATTGTTTGACATTATTTAGCAGAATGGATGCCAGCATCATAGCCTCTGTGTTTATTTTAAAACAAATGTACTTATTTAGCTTTTTTGTTTAGATAAAGCAAATATTTTGTGGGTTTAAACATAAGAGTGAAGTTTTAAAAGTGCAGCTTTAAGAGTCAAGTTAAAAACAGGGCACTGACTAATACTTAGTTTTGGTAAAAATTTTGAAATCACCAGAATAAAATAAAATACATTTAAGATAATTTAAACCAATTAGCAGGAAAGCACATTTTTTTCCATGTTATAGGAGAGAATGTTCTTTAAATGAAAATACTACTAGTTTAAATATGTGTAGAGCATACTTTTCTTTGAGTTATAGGGAAATGTAATCTGATCGCTGCAAAATTGAACCGTAATTTCCAAGGCAAATCCATGATTTAATCATAAATAACTCAACTTCAAATTTGTATAATTCAATCTCTAAAATCAAATTTCTGAAATTCCACCTTAACTTTTAGAACTTAAAGAGTTAAGGGTGAATTTAAGATAAGAAGGTGTTTAGATGAATTAGCCAGCATTGTTAATTAACCCACAGACAGATTTTCATTGGTTTACTCTGGTTTGAATTGCTACATGGAAAATTTGAATAATCTGCAAAGTTATAAGAAAATAACCGAGCATTGCATTTTTAAATATTTTGCTGATTAATGCTGTTGAAAACCCATATTCGTAATCTATTTTGACCATTTTCTTTGGTTACTATGTTTTTAGGGGTTGTGTTTATGAAGAATATTCGAAAGGGAGAGACTTCATTTCTTATGGTTGATGGAAAAACAAGGCTACATTTAGCAGAAGTTTAGATCTTGACATTTTAATGAGGGCATGGGTGAGTGTATACGTGTTACTGAAGACTAGTTTATATATATATGACCCATTAAAGGTGCTGCCGAGTGTGGGTGGCAACTAACGTGGGTGGAACAATATCTTCTGAGAGAGGGCAATAGCTCATACATTAGCATAACTGTGAAAAGTTCAGGAGCCATGTAGGAAATGGCTTATCTGTTTTATCACAAGGAAACAAACTTCTGGGTAAGGGTGCAAAGTGTACCACTGTCCTCTGCATACTTTTTCAGCAATCAAAGTAATTATCAAGCCCATGTATAACACTCACCTGAATGCTACCTGATTAGGAGTTCCTTTTCTGAAAGAATGTCTACTCTTCAATTCAAGACAATACTCAGGCAACAAGTAGATTTTAAGTACAGGTCTAAAGATAAAACGCAGTCTCGCAGAGGCCTCTTGAGAATGTATTTGGACTTTGCTCACTGAGAGGTTTAAAAGTGAGAGAGAATTTCAGCCTTTTCTTCTGCATATGAATGATCGTAGCCACCTGCTTATGAACCATCTCTCTTCAATGACTCAATTCTGAAAGGTCAAGGAGAATAGGTGATAAAATTCTCATAAGACAAACCAACTGACAGATATATATTTCCTTCCCTCCCTCCCTGCCTCCTGTCCTTCCTTTTTCCCTTCCTGAACCATACTTGTCTATAGATTGAATATTACACATGGGATTGAGTTTTACAGTTCTGATGATAAAGATGACTTCAAGTAAAGAAAGGAGACACAGGTCTAGTCTCACTCACTGAATTTACCGAGCGCTCACTGTGTCTGAATGCAAGTGAAGGTGTCTTTACCCTCAGTAAAGAACAGACAAAGTTTATAACATTTGCGGGGCTTTTAGTTCAGGACTGAGAATGATTTTGTAGATCAGTGTGTCCAAGAGTACTTTTTTGTTTGGCAGCATTAAGAAGGCAGATGTTTCCCTTAAGGTGTATGTATCTTTTCTAAGTGGATGTTCACATTCAAGAGCAGGCATGTCTCTTTCAAGTGACCCCTATACCCACCAAAACTGGAATATAGAGGTACCTAGAATGTCTTGTATGATTAGATATTATATGATTGATAAGTATAATATGTTTCAACATGAAATTTTAATTATGCAATTTTTACCATTTGGAAATTGTATTTAAAGGGGTGTCTCTCTAGTCTCTTTATACATCAAAGGACACAGTTGCCTAATCATTCCTCGCTAATTACAGTGACCACCTTACAGGTACATTTTTGAAAGATTCTAAACCAGTGCCATTTTATACAGTTACATGTTAAGAAGAATTTAATAATGTTGCCAATGGTTTCACATAAAATAAACACAAGACAAATAGCTCTCTTCATTAATGCATTTATACCATTTAATTACAATTTTTTTGTGATGGATATAATATCAATCAGAAATGTGCAGCTATTTGCTATATATTATGTAATTAAAAATAAAAATTATTTCCCCTGGGTATTTCCCTAAACCTCCCAGTTAAACATCTCTGGGGAAAAAGGAGTGTTGTAAGCAGAAATGTAATGGAGTTTGGTGGTTGGTTATCAAAGTTGGAATCAAGTTTTCATCACTAACATAAGAAAGACAGTCTAAGCATAAAAGTAAACACCATAAACAATAAAACAAAAATCGGAGAAATAGGTATGTTTTTTGATGGTAGGCCTCAGTATGTCTTTGGTGAAAAGTATACGTATTTGTGTGTATAGTACAGTTATGAAATATCGAAGTATTTCTTCTGAAAGTATAGAATATATTATCCTTTAAATTCCTAAATACATTTTAGTAAAATATATATTCCAAATTGAATACATTTCAGAAGCAATCATGGGTTTTTAATTAATTGTATGATTAGATAGGATATGTACAGTAGTACAGCTCAGCTGATACAAAGAACAATATAGATTATTTATGACCTGCTGACAGAATTAAAATTAATTAATGTCAACTTCTGAAAACATTAAAAAGGAAAAACCAGATTTTCTTATCCCTTGGGAAAGGTGAGGGAAAAGAATTTGTGTGTGTGTGTGGGGACAAAATTGTGATTTTACTTTGTGAATACAGATATTTAAAGCACACTGAAAAACCGTTTTAACTGACAGAAATAGTTAGTGAATCTATATAAATTCACAGAGGTTGGAAGCAGTCAAACAGTAATTTTACTCTTTCTGTATTGAGTCTAAAGTGTAAAAAGTTAAAACTGTAGAACTGAAAGAAATGCTGTGTATGCTGGGCTGTCATGTTAATTAAATAAACAACCAGAACAGTGACTCTGTGTATGAAATACATTTTGAAAAGCCTGGGGGAGGGGGTGCAGGCAGGCCAGGGTGAGTGACACTGGCATGAAAAAACATTCATTATATCTGCAGTGACATTTGTGTGAATTTGTTGTATTCTATTAGAAATACAGCTCTGGGAATAATCTCTTCAGGACTCTAGTTGAATAAAGGCTTGACCACATTTAATTTCACTTCAGTGTTAAATAAGTTTTATTTATTATGTTGAAGTAAAATGTGTATGGGCCTCAAAATGAGAAATATGCCTATATATAATAAGATTTTCAGTTAATACGGTTTGTGCCAGTGACAGCCCAGTAGAATGTCTGTAGACCTCATTGAAAACTTGTGTTGTTCAATCTATCAAAAAATGAGTTTACCTTGGGTTTATGGTAGGAGTTGTATTTTTCGGAAGACCTTATTGTTGAGAGACATAATCTCATGGATGAAGGTAATC